GATGTAAAAAATTTTTCAAAAAAGTTGTTATTGATTGGATTTGCGAAGCGAATAGTAAAAGGATCTTTTTTTTTAATATTTTTATTTATGCTTTTAATGAAAATATAAATATATTTTGTAGATTTTTATCATTTATATATATTTCCTAAAAATTTTATCAAAATTTATTAATATTGCTATGAACTGCAAACAATAAAAAATTGTAATTTTTTAATACTTTCGATTTAAATTCTAAAAATTTTTATAAAAAATGAATTTTAATTTCTTTCTTGTTTGTTTCTAATCAAATGATTTCAATAAAACAACATATATGTATATAATTATTGTTAATGTGTTTTTTAAATTTTCATTTCAGACTCAAATAAAAAAATTATAAAAGCTACTTTGACTATTTTCTTCAAAATAATTGAAGTAAATTTTGTGCTTGATATTTGATTTATCCAAATTACATAATATATAAAATTAAAGTGCCAAAATAGACAAAATGCTAAAGTAAACAAAATTAAATGTTTAATATATTTGTACATTTTGCATAATTAAAAAAAGAAAATTTAATAAAATATAGTAAATTTTGTATGTAATTTTTTATCTTATATATTTAATATGTATTTTGAAGAGATCATATTAAATCTTTAGGTTACGATATATAAAAAAGAAGAATAACATATATATATAAAACATAGAAAAGAAAAAAACTAAATATTTATAGAAGATCTACAAAAGAAGAAGATTATGATGATAATAAGTGACAATAATGAAATTTTGTCAATAATGAAATTGATAAAGTTGAAATTAAAATTCTAATATATAAGTATTTTATGGAAATTTTATTAAAAATATTTTTTTATATACTTTGTTTTGAGTTCTTATTTTTTATTTTCATATTGCGTATATTTTATTAATTCTAAAAAACTTTTTAATTGAAATCCAATTTCGGCCGATTTTATGATTGTTACATCTGAATCTCTTATTTGAAAGAATTATATTAATTTCTATGATACAATTAATCGCAATACTAAAGATTGTATTGTGTTAAAAAAAAGATGTTAAAAAGAAAGATTCAAAAATTTAAAGATTTATAGCATTAATCAAAAGAAATCAAAAATGTCTAATCACTATAAATTTTACATTCAATCTTTTTGATACAAAATTATTATTGATAAACATTCATTATCGTGAATGAATTTTTTTGCAATATATTGCATGTAAACAAACAAATTAATTTCAAGAAATTAACGCAGGATTTTTAACATTGTAATATTATTTTTATATTATATTAATATTTTAATATTATAATTATAATATTACTAATTGATTAATATTAATAGAGATTACTTCACACAAATATGAAAATCATTGGTAAGATTATAAACAAAATGTGTATTTGTTATTATTTGCTATTTTAGAATAATAAAAAAGTAGATGTAAATTGACCCAACAATAATGTTTTTTACATTCAGTAGTAAATAAACACTAAAAATTTAAATAATTTTAAATAAACACTTCGTTTACGTGTATAAAGTGATATTTTTTTATTAATTTAATTAAAATTAAATTAATATTATTTTATCTATGAATTTAAGTTTATTTGCGTTTTTTAATACTATTTTTTTTATTTTTTTATTATTATTCTGCAACATATTTGAAGTTTTAAAAATTCTGAAGTTTATATATCAAATTTTTATATTTTGAAATGATATCATATAATATAGCTAGTACTATTTTTATTTTATTTGATGTATAAATATATTCATTTTCTCAAATTACTAAAAAAATACAATATTTTCAAACTATTCAAAAGATATATATACGAAATTATATAACTTTTTAATTTATTTTCTTCTATTTTTATCAATAAATTTGTATTTCATAATCGTATGAATGTGATTTTGTTAGAAAAATTTGTTATTTATTCTGAATTGAATAAGAATATTTGTTTATATTATTATATATATTTGATTTATGAGTAGTTAAATATTACAAATAGTAATGATAAGTAATATATTGTCTCATTTTATTATGTTCGTTTTGTTCGTTCATCAAACAACATCTGATATACACAAATTTGATATTTGTTTAACAAATAATTTTATTTCAAAAAAAATATTTTTCGCATTATTTAATTAAATCCAATTCATTTTTATTGATTAATAAGTCTTTATTTTTTTTTTCTTCTTTTTCTATCATTTTAAAAATGTAATTCGTTTCATTATATGCTCTATATTTCATTACATTTAATGATAGTGAATATAATTTATGTATATATATATAATTATCTCTCATATCCACATATGAAAACCGATTCATAAATTTATTAAGAAAAGTATTTATTGCGTTATTTGCTTGAAATGAATAACGAGATAGATTCAAGAATTGACACATAATCAAGAATTCTTTGGTTCATTTAGAAATTTTTAAATGGAAATTATTATTAAAATGATTACTGCTTCTTTTGCTTCTGTAGATAATTTTAATTTTAAACAATAAATATGTATATACGAATTTTTACAAATAATAAGTTCTAAACTTATCATCATCGTCAAATGTATTTATTAAATATTAAAAAATGTACTGCAATTTCAGGAAACTTCACGTTCAAATTTATCCAATTATCGAATTATCAAATTTTTTTTATAACAAAAACAATATAACAAAAAAAATTAAAGAAAAATAACATAAATAAATAGTTATATGATAACAGATTATATTTTCTGTTTAATAATTAATTATAAATTAAATCATAGAAGTGAATCTGAAAAGCGATAATTTTGTTTTTAGAGATAATTTTTTTCATTCATAATTTTCAAATATTTTCATGTTCATTTTTACGCTATATAAAGATAAATGCAATTTATCTTTAATTTTGATTCTCCATATATTTGATCGACAATGTTCTTGAAATTGTATGTATTTTCACATATTTTATTTCATTATTTTATTACGAAAATCTATTATAAATTTTTTCTGAATTTTGTTCTTAACTTTTTTTTTTTCATAATTTGTTCATGATAAGAAGTTTTTCTCATTATGAAAAAATTATTTTTGTTATTTATGTTTTAATTTATTTTATTTATATATACTACATAATAAATATATTAATATATAATAATTATGATATCATTTAAATTATTTTTATTTGTTATTTATTATTTATATTTTTTTATATTCAATTTTTTATCGATAGTTGGAAGTAAACAATGAATATTATTATTTTTATTACGTTTCTCTATTTTAAACTTTCCATTCATAATCAGCTGAAGTTTTAGAAATTACTTTAGAATTTGAAATATTGAAAAATCAATATATTATCTAAAATCGTTTGTTTTTTTAAATTATCTACCATAATTCGGAAGATATGAATCTGTAGAGTTATTCTGACAGTGAATAGTTAATAATCATTCTTTCAGATGGAATATGGGATCTGGAGTTTTCACGCCGCGGGTGAACTTTGGGGTGACCCGCGTCTCACCCGAAGGCATCCGATTCTACCATCAAGTGCAACACAGTTGCTGCCGAGATCCACATTCGCCTTGAGTGGCTTCCATCGACCAAATATGGTGTCATTACCGTTGACTTCCGTTGGACCGCCATATGGACCTATGGAACTCGTTACAAAACGGAATAGTGAACGGGATGTGAAGAACGAGGAGAGAGAAAAGGAGAAACAAGATGACAACGAAAAAAACATCGAACGAGCCAACGAAAATGATAATCAGGTTTGAATTTGGTGAAAGATTTATATTTTATATAAATAGGTTCAATAAAGTCACTTTATATTCATGATAGACTTAAATTTAATCAATTATATTTTAATCATTAGTTAATTACTACACTAAGGAAATAATCATAATAATCATGATCATTAATCAAATAATCATTGCAATGATGAATAAAATCTGTAATCATCAATCAATTTTTAATTATATTTATTTATTTATCATATATAATATATATTGAAATATATAAAGAAAATATTACGTATAGAATATTTCATAGATAATGGTATAAAAAAGAGTCTACATAAAAAAATAAATTAAAAATATAGAATAAAATTTTTTTATTTAAGTCTTTATTTTAAAATAAATCAAATGAAAATGAAAATTTTATAAATATAACTGTAGTTAAATTTTTAGATATAAAATTATTGATATTCTATACATAAAAATAATACAATAATAATGGATATAGATATTAAAAGTACATAGATTCTCCGATAAAATGTTTAAAATGAACATTAATTTATATAGTTAATGTTAAAAGAAAATTATATTTATATATTAAAATAAACAAGTAATTTCCTTTGTTCCAAAATTATATAAATAATAAACATATATTTTTTAAAAAATATAAATAATATTGTTATTATAAATAAATTATTGATATAATCATAATTAAATTATACTATTTAATTAATCATATTTCACTTATTATAATCATCTTATAATTGATTATGAAATTAATTAATGAATGATTTATGTTTGAATTAATTATTATGATTACTTCTCTTAATTATTATTTATTAATTATTATTTATTTTTTAATAATAAAATCAATTATTTAAGAATTATTTAATAATCAGTAACATAATCGAGGCATAATTTTGCATTAATTATAATTTTTTATTATTAATTAATTTATTATCAAATCTGATCCATAAATAGATTCCATAAGTTTTTGTGATTAGTTGAAACTACAAAAAACAAAGAACATTATATGTATATAATATTTATATTTATAATAATAATAAATAATATACAATTTAAATACATAATACAGAAAAAAATATTAATATGCAATTTTGATAAAGTAGAATATCGCAGTAAAAACAGTATATATTACACTATTAATTAACATAACATCAAATTTTCTGTTTAATAATAAAAATATTTCAGTTCTATTTAATCTTTTATAGGATTTTAAATATTTTAGAAATTAATAAATTTTCTTAAAATTTTTCAATATTAATTATGTATTATTTATTTATTTATAGAAATTTTTTTTTATATTTAAAATAAGATTAGAATTTTGAGTTATTTCGTGATGTAGACTAAAATGAGATTTATAATATATATATATATATATTATAAATATATAAGCCTCAAATGTTATATTTAATATTTCAAATACAGAAATACATATATTTAAAATCATATTTAAAATTACCTATATAAGATCTAATTGAGTATTTGTATATCATATTTCTGTATTTAATACTTATTTTATTTTTATTCTATAATGTTTCTTTTGTATAATGCTTATTTTTAAAACATGAAACGATATCATTAAATTTTAATTGAAAAAAGAAGAATAATAGTATGATAAAGACTCTAATTTATAAAATTAAAAGTATACTCAGAATTAATCAAGTATTTTGATTCATTTTTTTTATTATTTTTCATGTTAATTTTAGAGAATTGTATGTTTATATAGATATACTAATATTTGATATGATTTGAAAATAAATAGAAAAGTAGAAATAAGTAGAGAATTTTAGAATATTTTATTACGATTTAATCATAAAATTATTTTATTGATTGTTATTTTTGTTTATGAATTTACTTATATGTTTTCTTTTAAATTAAATAAATTTAAATTAATTCTTATTTTTTTACGAAGTTTGAATATTTCTGATTAAAAACTTAAGAAAATTAAAGATAAATATTAATAATGTCTTTTTTTGTATGAAATATTTAATTATATAAATATTTATTTGTATAATTATTTCTCGATAATTGTTATTCGATATTAATTTTTAATGCATCATTAACGAAATTCATTTATTAACATTTATCAGTTATTTATTGTTTTCTTATTTATTATTGTTATAATTTTTGTTATTTTATTATAATTTTTCTCAAAGCGAAAATATTAATTTTTATAATTAGTTTATTAATTTTCATAATAAGTTATTTTAATATTTTTTTATACTAAAGTGAAATTAATAACTAAAAATAATAAATAATAAATAATGAAACAAATAATAAGTAGTTAACAGAATTATCATGCGATAACTCAAACTATTAAATCGAATAATCTCATATATTTTTTTTTATGAAATAAATTTTTTTAAATTCTTTTTATTATTCTTTATATCTGTTATTTTTTATTATTAATATCTGATTTCTTATTATATTTATGACTCGTTTTTAAAACAAATATTCGATCATTTATTCATCATAAGACTTCTAAAATCACGAAGTTACTTAGAGAAAATTTAAAATTTAAATATTTATATATATAATTTACATAGAACCGTTTTATTTAAACGCATTTATTCTATAATAATTAATTAAATAAATAATTAAATAATTTTATTCTTTCGAAAAAAAAATGAATATCAGTTCATCTAAACGATGTTCATTTAATTTGTACATTGTATTTTCATAAATATTATAGAAGATCATCACTGAAAATGAATGTTATATCTATAATCTTTTTAAATAACTTTGCACATAATAATATAATAACATCTATTATATAATTAATAACATATGAATTATATGAATAATTAATAATAATATTAGATATATATAATATATATATATATATATTATTTTAATATTTATATTCATAAAGATCATGAAGAAATTTTTTTATTAATATCAAAAAAATTGGAGATTCTATATCATCCTCATTAAAAATAATGTGCAGTTTTCAAAATAATAATTCGTTATAAAAAAAAGTTGGCTGTTATTTGATGTTTTTAAATATAAAAAAAAAATGTATGAAGATTAAAGCTAAATTATTAATTATTATAATAATTTGAATTTTTTAAATTTTTAAAAGCCAACTTTTTCTTAAAAAATTATTGAAAAACAAATTGAATTTCAACATTAATATTTACATCTTTAGTAATTACTATATCATTAAACTATATAATAATTACATATTATTAATATATTTTTATGGAATAAAAAAAGTGATATTTTTATTTAGAATAATAATATAATTAAAAAATTTTATAATTTTAGCGAAACGATTTTGAATGATTTGAATCATTATTAAAATTATCAAAAAATTATTTCATATATAATATATGAAAGTCATATATAACGGTATTTAATTTCTTGTTAGATAAATAAATTTTTCTGTTTTGACACTGTAACTACGAATATATTGATTACTATTTCAAATCGAAAAATTTCTTCAAATTTGGGAACATCATAAGTCAGGCGCTAATTATTATCGTGTTAGAAAAATTTACATAAAAAAATAAGTTGAAGAAAATAGAATAATATTTTTTTCATTTCTGAGTAAGTCAATATTGAAGATTCATTTTTGTCGAAGCTTTCATATGATTTTATTTAGGTTTATGATATCAAATTTTAGTAGATATACGAAACTTTTTAATAAATAAATAATATATTCTGGAGAATATAATTGTGCTATTCCAATTACTGTTCCGATTTTTAACATTAATTAGGTACTAAGAAATAAACATTAAAATAAAATTATTTTTTGGTCAAAAATTTTTTATTAATTGAAATATTATTGAAAATATTTCCTATTTTTTTGCCAATATAATTGAATTTTATATAAGATAATTCAGTAAATATTTTCCAAAATGTTTTTTTTTAACTTTTTATTTCTGATATTAACATCTGATCATAAACAAATGATTTAATCTCATAAATAAAAATTTATTAATGTCACGTTGAAAGATCATAATAGCCACGATACTGTACTTTCATGATAAATCCATATATTTGTTTATTAAAAAGTTTGTTATATCTATTGAAATTTGATACATTGTTGAAAAATTAAATTCATTTGGATTCCAAATATATCCGATATATCATACAATAAATTCGAAGTTATTCTATATAATATAAAAATTCAATTATGATATATATAAGACATATAATATTATCATTGAGAAAAAGAGACCAACAATTTTTTTGCCAGTTTAAACATTTATATTTCATTAAATTTAGAAATATATAAATATGATATAAAAATTTTGGGCCCAATAATAAGCATTATGAACATTACATTTTCTAAAAAATTTAGCTTTTGTCCACAAAGTATTTATTAAAAATTGTTTCTTATTATTATATTAATTAATAAAAATGTTTTCCATAAAATGTAGTTACAATTCATCAATCTCTAAACATAAATCATAAATATCATAAATATGATAACGGTAAAATTCATTTTCAAACATTTAATTTTTTAATTAACATTATGTGTAGAAGTTTTCTTATAATTATAATTAGTAGATACTAGTAGATAATAGTAGATACTAATTTTGAAATTCTGTTTTTCGGATTGCAATATTTGATTCTCTACATTTCTTCTAAATGATAGAAAAGGATCATCATATCGATGGAGCATTCCAATGTTTCTATGTTTTTCCAATATATTCTTTCACTTAGCTTTTTGAATCTCTTTTATTTAGATAAATCACGATTTATCAATGATATTTATAGATGCATTGCTGACACATATACTCAACATATCATATCGATATATTTTCTTATTGCTGAATATCGACATATCGACAAAATAATTAGAAGCTTGACATATAAATAGCAACAAATCATGATATTGATGAAGTTTATATATGCAAATACAACAAAAACTAATCTATAACCAAATGTATATAAAACGTATATAAATTCAACAAGCCTTCAATACTAATTTACTCAGAAATGAAATTTTAAGGAAAAAACTTTTTTTTTCGATTTATTTTTTTATATAAATTCATCTCCTTGTGGCTTATATCAAATCGATGATATTGTATATAAAAATATATTTTATTTACAAATAATTTATTCATTTTTTTATTTATTCATTTTGTATTAAATGATAAATAATCAAATCTAAAATTTTTTATAAGATCAAAAAACTTTTCTTAAAATAAAGTTTTCATCCAAAACTCGATTATGATTTTATTTACAAATAACAATCACGTGATGAATTTTTTTTTGTCATGTAGACTTCCGTGCCGAAAGAAAATAATGACAATGAAGATGCTGGAGAGGAAAGCGATACTGGAAGTACAAATAGTTCACACCGTTTAGCTAACAATAATTTACCGACAAAACTGCTTGATCCCATGGCTTATCTGACATTTGACAAGGTTAGTTTAATATTATATTATAGTGTATTATATTATGTTATATTATTTATAATACATATACATACATTTATTTTGTGCGTGTGCGTGCATGCGTATGTGTTTAAAGAATCAGAATTAAAATTAATTATAGCTCTCAATTGATATCGAGACATCACAAGTGATCACAATTTTAAATAAGATTTTAAGATGGTACATATTTAGAATGTTATACTTATATTTTATATTTTAACCGATAAATTAAATCATATTTATTATTTAAAAATTTATTATTATTTATTATTTAAATGATATTTATCTAAAATGAAATATGAATTGATATTAGAAATATTATAGTAGCTGTCTAAGTATCTATCTTATATATAATAATTATAATTAAAATAATGTCATAAAAATAAACAAGTATATGTAATTATATTTCTATTTTAAAAGAAAAGAAATTTATAAAACAAAAAATATGAAATTTATCATCCATTTTGGTTGTTTAGTGTTAAAATGAATTCCAAGTTTTTAATATTTAAATTAATATCAGAGATATTGATGTATTAATTAATAAAAAAAATATATTAATTTCATTTAAAATAAGAGTAAAATAATAGATATATATATATAGATATAGATTTTTCGAAACTTTTGAAACTTTTCACTTTCAAAAAAAAGATTTTTATCTTTAACTATTTATTAATATATGATGCTTCATCTTCACTTTATGTGTAATTATTTATTATTTTCATCATTTTAATATAAATATTTTAATAAAATATCATTTTAATAGTATCATTTCTGTATAATATTTTTTCAGATTGAGATATTTAAAATAGATCATTTGAATAATTCATTTGTTTTTAAAAAAATATATATTAGATCAAAATTGAAATTTTAAGATAAATACAATCTAATATTAATAGTTTTTTTATAAATGAAATATAATTAATAAATGAGAGACAAAATTAACTTTTTTTGTTTTAATAAAATAATATGATTTTTTTATTATTTTTTAATAAGAATTTTAAGACAAATAATGATAATTGAAAATTATTCAAAATTATTTAAAATCAATTTATAAATAATATATAAATAAAAAGTAAATTGTTTCAAGACATTATTTAAATATTTTGACATTTATATAGTTATTACTAATACAAGTATACAAAAAAGTCTTAAATATTAATTCATACTTTAAAATATTTAAGAATATATTACATAATGAATTTCATTTAAATTTATTGCAAAATTTATTTTCTTATATATTTTTACATGTATTTTTTGATTTTTTAAATATCTTTGTTTCTTTCATTTTCAATAATATGTTTTCATAAATAATATATTCAATGTTTTCATAAATAAAAATCTAAAAATAATCTCCAAATTTTCTGTTTAGAAATTCTATAATTCTAAAATTTTATTTTATAATTGTAATATATCAATAATCAAAAAAATATTCAAATAATATCTTAAAACAATTTATTTTTCCTTAAGGAAAAAGATTTAAGAAATATTTTAAAAAATATTTTAAATAAAAATAATCTTCTGTATCTATAAAAAAATTATTAATAAATTATTTTTTCGAAATTAAACAATTTTGGTGAGTTATATTTTTTCGTCAAAAACAAATAAGTTTTTTAAATGATCTGTTTTAAATGTTCTTGTATATAGATTTTCATAAATTCATTAGTTAATTTAAACTCTTAGCTATCATCAATAATTTTATCCAATGTTAATTATTAATTATATATAAATTATAACATTATTAAATTTATTAAATAATTATTCAATCTGAAATATACGATAGAAATAAGTGAAAATGTTGTTTTGATAACAGGATGGAACAATTACACCAGTTTTGAATGGCTGGGTCCTTGGCGCTTATACTGCTATGCTTGGAAGACTTTCAGCAGCGACAGCGGCTCTCGAAGCAACAGAAATTCCAAACATTCCATCTGATAGCGATTCTGAGAGCGAGCATTCGTCTTATACCGAGAAGTATGTGTTATGATAAAATTATTAACTATTTTTTTCAAGCTAAAACATTCTACATTATGACATATTTAATTTAGTTTCCTTAATGCATTGAAAAATTTAAATTTTTTTATATATTTATGGATATATAAAAAATATATGGATAATGGATGAAATCAGATAAGAAGTTAAAAGGAAGTTCAAATAATATTATATATGATATTATATTATACATGTATTTTCATCGAGATAAAGAAATATTCAAGCAAGTTTTTTATTTAATATGTCATGGAATCGATAAAACGAACCAATGAATCTGTCCGGTTAGAGAGCGAATCTTTTTTCCTTGATCAACAATGCGAGAGCGCGTTTCTAATATTTCAAAAATTCAAAGATAAATGGCATCGTAAATCAACAGCTTTGAAGGATATTGACCAGCGTTGAATTACGACCGATTCGTGAGCAACGATTACGAAATTTAAAAAATAGAAAAAGAAAGGAAAAGATTTTTAATTCTGTAAAATTTTCTGGTTTTGATTTTGATACATTTCTTTTTATTTTATTTTATTAGTGATTATTTTTTTTTTTTTTTTTTTGATTGAAATAAATGTGATTAAGAAAATTTCATATAATAGAAAAGTGAAAAAAAGATTAAGCAAAAAAATTTTATTGAAATTTCAAAACTAAATTAATTTTCTTAATTTTTCTAAATATATATATTATTCTATTAATTCCTCAATTTTTTAATATATTAGTTATCTTCAATTTTTTCCTATATTCCAGATATAAAATAATATTTTGCGAAAACTTAATCAAATTAGAAAAAATCCTAAGATCATTTTATGTTAATACTCTTTTTTATATTTTTTTATGTAAAAATCACAAAATAAAATATTAAAATATAATATGCATATGAAATATGTAATGTATAATATAATGTGAAAATATATTAACTTTTTAAACTTCTATTTTATATATTGAATTTGAATTGATATATTAACATTTTAACGAAAAATATATTTATTTTTTATTATTTTATAAGTTCTACAATTTTTTCTTTCAAAGAATTAAAATTTTTTATTGGATTTCAGATCTCGAGGTAGTAGTCCAAACATTAGCAATGCACATCGTGGTTATTCCTGCGGTTCTTGTGACATGGTTGCGCCAACAAGGCCAGCTTTGCGAAAACACATTGTTAATTGTCATCCACCAGTACTCAGCGCAGAAGCTGGAGAAAAGAAAAGTTGTCCGTCCTCGGGCTGTGATTTTACCACGAATAGTAGATGCGAGATGGAAACTCACGTGGCTTCACACGTAGCACAAGGGATGACGCCCACTGGAAAGAAGCGAACTCTCGCATTGCAACGCGTCAGGTATAGGTACTTAACGCTTGTTTTAATTTTTTATTATACTTAATATTTCATTGTTAGCTCTTATGACAATCAATATCTTTTTTAAATGCAAAAAATTAATTTTTTTTTATTATTTTCTTTTTTAATTTTATATGAGATTAACAAAGATTTTAGACTTTCTTATATATATTTAGTGTCTATATGTATATTTATTGATTTTTATTATATTCTGAAGTTTTTAAAAATATAAATCCTGAATTAAAAGATAAATTTGTATATAATATAAATTTTTAATTTCATTATATAATGGATAATATATATATGAATATAATGAATAAATAATGTATTTCTAATTTCTAATATCATATACATAATACTTTTACAATTTATATTTGAATAATTATTTTGGTGATTGTCGTGTCAATGTTAAATATTATATCGTTAGAAATAATTAAAAAAGCATCCATTCAATTAATATCTTGAAATATATTTGATAAAAATTTATTAAAATATTTAAATATTTAACAATAGTGAAACATGAGAATTTTTATTAACAACATAATCTTCGAATACAAAACAAAACAAGAGAGTGATAAAATATAATGCGTTTATGTTTATAATCGATAATTAAATCAAAATAATTAATTAAATAAATAATTAAATAATAAATCTTCATAATATTAATATTTATTGCATCTAAAAACTAAACATTTAATTAACAATTTTGTGATATTACATATCTTCTTTTTTATACATTGTACTAATTTCAATTATTTTGTAAATAAAAAATTTTAAATTTAAGAAAATCTTTAAATATATTAAATAATTTATAAAAAAAATATTATCTGCTATATTATCTGCTAATTAGAAAATTATTAATTGATATTTTGAAATATATTATTATTATTATACGTATAAATTAAATATTTAATATAATTTTATAATATTATTCTTTTTATTTTATAATAATCTCTACTTTTTAAAGTTAAAAAAAGATTTCTAATTATATAAAATAACATATGAAAAAAAAACTTTTTATAATTTTATTTTTTTTATATGATATAAATCATTATATAAATTAGTTTTTAAATTTGCATTCTGCATCTCATTAAAATAATATTTAAAAAATTGAATTTATTTAAATATTTTTATCAAAAATTCTTTAATATAAATTATATCTTATATAAATTTTATTAAAAAAATTTAAGTTTTTCATATTTATAAAAAGAAATTAATTTAAAATTTAGATGAAATTTATTTAAAAAAAAACTATTAAAATTTCAATTGATTATTATTGTTATTTTTAAATTATGTTAAGAAATTCTGACTTATTGTACCATTCGATACATAGGTATGAAAGGGAAGAATACCGATGCTCATTATGCTCATATGCCTGCACCATTGAAAAGGCATTTCAGAGGCATTTGAGAGCACACGCAAATGGTATAGCGCCGGAAACGAGAGTGAGTTGTGCTGTTTGTGGGGCGGACAGATCATCGGAAGTCGATCTAAGCAGACATATGAGAAGGCATCGTGACGATCGATACTTTTGCTGTGACATTTGCATTTTTCGCACAGTACAGTTAAAAAAGGTAATATTTTTTTCTCTTTTGACACAAAAATTTTATTATTGGGAATATAGAATTCCAAAACTACGAAAGTGATTGAAATCAATGAACTTCGATTGTTTCGAATTTAATTCCGAGTGAAAAGTTTGTATAATTTCTACTTGATCGTAAATTCTTTGAAATTTCATAAAACATGGTTGAAATATTTCTACTTGTAAATCAAAAATTCTATATGAATAAATATATGATATAAATGCACACAAGTCAACAATATATCGTAATCCGAGATAACATAATCAAGAATAATGTGCTATTTGCACAGTAGGTTTAATTTCAACAATTGTGATGAAAAATTTCAATGAATAAGATTGGTTGCAATTAAATTTAAAAATGTTAGACTTGTTGTGAATATAAATCAAGAAATTTATATTCACAACAAGCTAAGAAATAAAAAATTTAAGTAAATAATTCATCACAGTATGATATTTATTACAATATAAATATAATAATTCTAAATAAATATATTTCTTTTTGTAGAAAAATTCAAAATTCGTGTCTTGAGATAGATTTGAATTTTTTATCATCAATAATTAAAAAATAAAATTGTAAATGCAATATTTTTATTTTTGATTTTATCTTATTTTAACTTGAAGAATATTTTCAGTTATAATCAGTGTAAAGTTTTTTTTTTAATTGTAAATGATCATATTTAAATATCAAAATTATATAAATTTTCTATTTATTATTTTTAAATCTCTAAAATATTATTAACTATTTTATAAAATATTAATATTAAATATTTAATATTATAATTAATATTGGAATATAATTTCGAAATTTTCATGATTTATATATTTCTTAACTTAATATATTTTTATATTCTTCTAAATTACATTATTAACAATTAATATGTCATACTTATAATTATTCGTATGTCTTTTTAATTTATTATCTCTCTTCATATATATATATATGTATATAATCCAGAAAAATGTAAAAATATATTTAAATCGATATAAATTTGTTTAGATGATATATATCATGAAAATTTCAAATATACACATACATATATATTTGAAAATAATGATCTCTTATATTTTATTAGCTTATTCAACATCGGCGAATGCATACAGGCGAGAAACCACATCTATGTCCACATTGTGCATACAGAAGTGCACGTCGTGACAATTTACGTAGCCATGTAAGACGAGTCCACAAAAAAGAGAATCTGTATTGCGATACGTTTAGTCCACGTGGCATGTTGCTTACACCTACAATCGAAAAAGATATACCTCTGGTGCAGAGCCCGGAATCTTCACCTTCATCCAATTCGGAGTCCATGAATTAACGAAAAAACAACACAAGACAGAAGATAATTTCGAAATTCGATTGGGGACCGAAAAATTAAGCGGTTCATCGTCGCTTTATATGTCCTTAACTTTGTCAATATATAATGACTTAGAGATAATAAAATCGATTTTACATTGGCAGCGAAGATCGTGTCGTCACTATTCGAGCTTTTTTGAGAATTGTCAATCGATTATTTTAAAAATTGATTAAATGATTTAAATTGATTAATTAATTAATTAATTGAAATGATAATTTGTAGAAAAATCAATATTGATTATTCTTATTTGATTTCAATTAAAATAGAATATATATAATTTTTCAAAATGATAGTTAATTTGAAATTGATTTAGATTCAATTTAAATAAATAATTTAAAGAAAATAATTATATTATAAGTTGGATTATAGAAAAAATTGTGTTAGAAAAAATTAAAATATAAAGATTTCGCGCGAGACTAGTGACGATGAAAATAGTCAGAAGTTGTAAATACATGAAGTTTAAAGAATAATAGTTTTGAAACATTTTTTAAAAATCAATCTCAACTTCTTGAAGAGAATTATAATCCAACTTTTTAGCTTGATTATAAAATACATATACGATTTTAATGATAGATTACAATATGAAGTATACGAATATAAAATAAATATATAAAGATTTAAAGCGTAATATACAATTACATTAGCACAACTTCTGGCTAATATAACTTCGTCTTTAATAAATAGAAATTATGTAGAGAATTGCATGTATCGATAATTCAATTTAATCTTGGAATTCTAACGTGATTTTATTATTAGCCAATTTAATTACCGAAATCTCTTAGTTGATCGACGAACGACGGCGATCAACGAAAATTAAAGCTGCATAATGGTGCTAGAATCGTAGACTGGATTATAGAAAAAGACTGAAAATAAATATTTTCACGGTATGTGAAATTCGTCCTTTATCTTCACTTTAAACCGTGATTCAAATGTAAAATTTGCGATTATTAAGACTGCTGTCCAATGGCCAAGAGTTTCTCATGCTACAAAATCGATTAATTTATTATTATTATTCTATAAAATTATAAAAAACATGTACAATTTTAACAAAAGAATTTTTATATATAAATGATCAATTTCATTTTTTGCATTTAAAAAAATTAAGTGTATTGATAATGTACATGTATACATATAACTCTAAATTAAATAATTATGTAGCATGAGATATCTGGTCTCTGGAAAAGGTGCTATTTTGCAAAAATAATTTTATCATCGTGTTCTTTCATATTTAAGCTTCAGCTATAATTATTATTATTATTATTCATCCATATGATTATATACTAATGACTTATTATTGGATAATGATATTTATTGTTATTATTATTAACTATTATTATTTAATATGTAATGCGAATATGAAACTATGGAGTTTCTTATGGAGTTAATCGGAATCGAAACAATATGTTGCTATAAAATAACATGTAATATGATGTGTTCGTTAAATGAGGAAAGAGTAATCATGAATAATTTTATCGAATTTTCATAGAGATAACAAAATAAGTAACGTGAAAGTTATTTTGTTATCGGTTGATCATATAATAGAATTATATGTTCGCTTATAACACAGGTAAAGTAAAACAGATAATGAAAAAAAAAAAAAGAAAAATATATTATTCATAATTTTTTCTCGCGTATTAATAAAATAGCTAAGAAATTGTAAAAATGTGTATTAAACATCAAGTGCAGGATTTTCCAATGATTCTGCAATACGTAAACAACTTTCTTTTTGTGTTTCAAATAACTTTAAATCGAAAAAAGCTATAGTAATTTAAAATATGAATTATCAAATGATTGTTGTTTAATAAGTAAATTTGCTAATATCTCTTTGAAAATACTTGATTTTACTCTGTCCTCATTCTATAGGAATTATTATTAAAATATCACAAGTTTTTTCTCTCTTTAGAATCAAAGACCGTCCCCTCCTCCTCCGAAAAAAAATGATTGTGAGTTTCAAGCATTTTTTGCAAAAAAGATAGAAAAAAAAGAATAAAAGGAAGAAGAAGGCGATAAGGCGAAGCCCAATATATATATATAACATGAATATGTGTCAATTTTTAATGTATCATAATTACGTTCTAGTCGATAAAAGTTTTTATGATGAGAAAATAACAAGGCACAGAAAGAGGATCTATGTATGCTCTTTGATATAACATTATGGCTACAATTAGTCACCTACGTTTTTTCTCGTCCGAGACGGCCATATATTGCATTTAACAAATAAGAAAATATGAAAAAATATGAATAAATAATTAGGGCGGAGAAAAATTAATCATAGTCAACCTGATAAAAGGGATGAACATTAAATAATTTTAATTTTTATATATAATATAAAATATAATATAAATTTTAAATATTTGATAATTTTAAAGAATTATTATTTCAAATGACTTTTTTATTTATTGTTTATTTTATTTATTGTTAGCAAATTATAGTATTTACTGTTATTATATTAATATTAATCGTTTAAATTCTAGAAATTTAACTAATCTAACTACTTTAATTATATTTGAAATTTTCAATATATATTCAAGATATTTCATTAATTTTATTTATTAGAAATGAGAAAAGATTTTTTATTATATATATTTACTTATTTCTATAAAAAATATTATATTAAAAATATTATAATTTTTAAGTAAGAAAATTAATTTTAAGTGCTTGATAAATTTTTTGATATTAAAGTGTTTAATTATTAAATTATTAACATAAATAATTGATATTATTTTTAATAAAATTTTGATACACAATATTTATAATCTAATTGCATTCAGAACATTGAATATACATATATATAACCAAATATGATTTATAATAAGAGTAATATACAAAATTAAATATCTCAAGAATTATAAATTTTAAGATAAATATATAATTTTATATTATAATTTTATATTAAGAATTTATTTCATCAAACTATATTAACTATAATAAATATTAAAATAAATATTAAAATATTAAAATTTTATCTAATTTAAAAAGATAAAATTTTTTTTTCATAAAGAAGCCATAATAATTATTACTAAAAAAATTTAATTTTATCTTTTATATTTATCTATAATTTATAATTATAATATTTTATTATAGATTTGATGAAACATCTTGTATATTTTAATTAATAATCTTCTATATAAATTTTAAATAATTTTTTTATAGAATCTATTATAGTTTTTTAATTATAATAAGTTATTATAATAGAAATTTTTATATCCTATAAATATTTTTTAAGTTGAAAACGATGTATCTTATTCGATAAATCATTAAGAGAACTATTATTAATATTATTAATTAAAATTATGCATATTTTCTCCGCCCATTATGGCAGTTAGTTAAATGTACAGTATAAAATATTTTCTTGCTTTTTGATGTATATTTGAAATAATATTTTATATATATATTTGTGAGATATTTATGATGTGCATAGTGACTTCGCGATATCTTTTATAATTCATGATTTTATATATACGTATTTAACAAGGCGAATCTCTACTAAAATTCTGCGAAATAAAAAAGAAAGGGAATCGAAAAACTGAGGAAAGATCGTTGTCTCTTTCGTTTTTTTTCGAACTTTCCTGCATTTATAAATGCGATATATTCTACATTATACGCGATAATAGTATTTTTGGTACGATAGTTGTACCGCGATTATGTTTCCCCAATGGATTCATCGCGGAACGACAAAATTGTTGATTGTTGGTATATCGGTACATTGCGTATTATATTTGTAATAATAATTCTATTTTTGATAATCACTCGATTAATTATTCCATTTTAGAAATTAATCGTTCTACGGTCATATTTAGAATAATTTATTAGTTTTTAAGATATGTCGCGAGAACGAACAATATGATATGATTCTTTCCTTTTATTTGCATAAGTATTATATAAAATATCAATTTATACAAATCGCAATAAAAGATTGAATTGAAAATTATTTTTGCAAGAGATCTAGATTATTTTTAATTTCAAATTTTTATATAATACTTTATATTGCAATATTATAATAGAATATTATTGTTGCGAATGTTTAAAAAATATTAAATGTTCGTTATATTATCTTAATTATTTATCATGACGAATCATAGTTAAAATTTTGAAAAATTCTGTAAATTAAAATTCTAAAAAGTTTGTTTTAAATACATTTTCTTTAATTTAGTTAAAGATTATTTTCATTTAATTAAAATTCAATTAAATTCATTTTATAATGGATATTTTTATAATAACTTATATTTTTAATGAAAATTAATGTAAATTCATTAAGAACATAAGCTAATATAAAAAAAGAATTGTATTTTGAAAAAAATTAAGAAATACTGGTATATGATTACTATGATCCATTTTGAAAAAAATTAAGAAATACTGGTAAATGATTACTATGATCCATGAAAACGTCTCGGACGTAGATTAATTTTGAAAAGGCGAGAAGAAAAAACGGCAGAGCAAGTATAATAATTATATGGGAGTCACTTTATCGCTTTGTAAATGGATTGCCTTTCGTGAAACGGGCGTAGAACCTCTTCGAGCCGAACATGTAACACGATTCATTGGCATTCTGTAGTTAAGTATACGATGCGTAATACATACACGCGATAGCAAAGGTCTTTTTATTATATTATATATCGTCTGAACGATCGATCTCAGGTGTGTCCGAGATTTATGCTAATTAATTAATTAATTCTAGCTCATTGTTCATAAATGTTGTGCCAATAGTAAAAAAATAAAAATTAAAATAAAAGAAAATTCAATAAAAAAAAAAATGAAATGCGTGCCAAAAAAAGAAATAAAAATATTGAATAATGGGACGATAATATGGATTTAATGTGTTAAATGGAAAGAATCGAGATATCGGAGAGTGCAAACGAGTCAAATTTGCTCGATCGTATATTTTTTTTCAAATTTTTTTTTTTCTTCGAATGATTCCGATATTACAATTAATTGGATAATACAATATAATATAATTAAAGTCTTTTCAAAACGATATGTAGAAACAGAAGTTAGTATATTGATCGAGCACATCTGTCTCGTACAAAAATATACGAACTAATTGTTACAATCTTTTAATTGTTGAATTTTTGCAGTAGATGGTAAGTGTCTTAACGTATACCTTATATAAACTACACAATAATATATTCTATATTAATGTTTCTTAAATTTACATACAAATGATCATCTGAGAACTTTCGTCGATCATCATCATCTCGAATACTCAAAAGAGAATAACTTAAAAATTAATTTACATTATATAATAATTTATAAATTAACTTGACATTAATTATTATTATATAAATTTTTGGAATATACAATGTAGATATGTTTTTTAAATTAAATTAATTATTGAAAATTCTGAGTGCAGTTCAATTTTTGTAAAAATTGATGATTTTCTACGTAAAGTTATCAGATTGATCGATTCTGGATATCTTCGAGAAACTGATGCCTAATTAATTGATGTTATAATATAATATAATAATAATAATTGTCATAACATAAAATTGAGATAAAAATATAACATTTAAAAA